GATATTCCTGTGAGGGACTGTTGGTGCAGTGCACAACGCAACACAGCTGTGCTTCTTTGAGGTGTTTACCAAGTGACCCAAAGAGTGACTTCAGCATAGGAGGGTTTTAACCACCAAATAACACTAAGCCTGCTTTAGAGCTCAGGCTATAATGAAACAAAAAAGTTTAAATTCTATTTTAGGGTGGGTGGTCCTCAGTCCAGTTGTCCTCAATGGTACATGTACATGTATGGCTGTACATAGCGAGTTGGAGCGTTTGATATTGAAGGAACCATATGAAATACATTGTCCTTTCTTTAGTGGTAGATTGCATGTAAAACCCAACTTTAGTTCATGGGAGTGTCTGTGTTGGTACATGTACAAACTGAAGGCAAAACTCCAGAGCTCCTTGGTAATTGGGTTAGTTGGCAATTTGGAAAGTTAGCATCAGGCGGGACATCCGTAACTCTGTGGCAACCGTTGCCTGTTGACTACAGCGAGGATAGATTTCAATCTCCTCACCCTTTCTCTGCCCAACTCAGATCAAATCCCAGAAGGTGAAAGACCTGTCATCTTAAATGGATGGCCCGCTGGCGGAGAATCGGTTTACAGTTCGCGCTAACCAGCAGGGAACATGACGTACAATCCCTCTCCATTACATGTGCTCTATACCTCCCTAGTATGTACACATGTGCACATTGTAAGTTTGGCAGGCAAACCAAACAAGCACAGGCAGTACATTGTTGTTGCACTTCTCTGATTCTTTTCTATCGTCATATTTTTCAGTGTGGATTGTGTGTATATTTCCTTAAGCAGACCGTTAATACTGGCTATCCCACTGCAGTTACATCGTAGCCTACAGAATTTTCCTGACTCAGTTTCCCGCTTCATCCAAACAGTTACTCACATGAAGCCTGTGTACCCTGGAACATGAAACGCTAATGAAAAAGACAACTCGGGGGCGGGAGATTTCACTTGAAAATAAAATCTCACTTTGGGGATCAAAATATTTAGCTAAGGATCAAGTAAGGGGGAGCTGGGAGGTCTTTCCAAAAAAAATTGAGAGGCAGTATTACAAGGTGTTTCACTTCAGAAAACAAATGCCAGAAAAAACTACATGTACTTTCCAACAACCAAGGAACAACCTTGGAAAAAAATTGCGGTCTTTAAGAAAAATACTCCTTTAGGACTCAAGTGGAACCAAATGTGACCAAAGGCAAAAAATTCAAAAACAGAGAAACTCAACCAAAAAAAAAATAGAAATACCTCAGACGGTCAGACCTTAATGCTAGGACCTGGAATTTCAAATTAAAGCCTAACACAGTAGACCTTAACCTTACAGTAAAAGACCAACAGTTAAGTAACGGTACAAAAAATTAGTAAACAAGCCGACTATATGTATATATAAAAATAAAACCAACACAGTATGAAGAAAAGGAACAAATCAATTACACTCCAACTTCAACAACCTGTGAAGAAAAGAAATATGGAAGACTTATTAATGAGCGTTACATGAAAGAAGCCTTTTCACTCCATGACAGAATAACAGTGCATAGACACATGCATGTACCGTACTTGGGCAAAACATAATCCATGGGAGGAGGGAGTGGAAGACATACATGTACCTGCTGCATGCCATGTGTGTGTATGTTGTATGTACCGGTACATGTACATGTACATGTACATGTACATGTCACTGTAAATCTACACATTAGCGTAATTCAATTTTTTTCAGGTCTTGTGGTACATGTATATTGTGATATAGAGAGTTTTAATGTATCTCAGCTGGTCGTAACTCAGCATGAGGGTTGAAGCTCTTTGCTGTAATAAAATCGCTCTTAAAATTCCATGCCACTGAGAACTTGTCAAGATGGATCCATCAAATTTGAAGTACTGCAACTGTACCAGTCTTTTAGATGAGCAATTTAATAAAATCCCCCCACCCCTCATCATAAACCAAAGGCTTCAGTCCTAAAGCAGCTTGTCCGACTGGTTACAATACGGTTCACTCGCTGTCACAGTGTGATATTCATTTGAGTTTCAGGTGCTTCAGCACTGCATACCGGTACCCATGTACTCACAGCAGGTGTTTTTGACAAGCTAGGCACCCCAAGTTTCAAGCCAAGAAAAGCCCGGTGTGAGTTTTAGTAACACCGCTGACAAAAACATACAGTGCCCCCACGCCAGCATCATTAAAGAGACGGGAATCAAAGGTGTCAGATCTCTGAGTGGTTGAGCTGTGTGTGTGGGGGGGGCGGCAGTTGCAGAATGCCAATGGTGACTTTGTGTGAAAGATGCCAGAGTATCGCCATCGCATCGCCATCGCATAATATTATTAGTGATGGTGATTGAAGTTGCGAGGATTGTTCTCGGCCATCCTTTGAATGGGGATTGACTTTGGCTGTCTAAGCTGGAGTTAGGAAATCAACCCGAGGCAAGGAGATGAGACTCCTTGAAAGGAACAGCACCAAAATGGGGTTGTGTAAAAGGGAAAGTGGATTGGGTTCGTGTCTCTCTGCTTGGGTCTTAAAGTAGCAGGTGTCTAGTCTCGGAAACCGCATACTGCCTGAACATCAGCATACAACTTGTAACCATGTCCATGTACTTGTCTTTTACACTCCATGTAAATGCATGGGAGAAATTGAGGTGTTCATTTTGATATGTTGGCAGTTATATAGCAAGTTTACAGCATGGTGTACAGTATTTGTTGCAAATGTTCACATCTACATTTACATATTCAGTACCTGATTTACATGTAAATTGATTGCTATTTGTTATGATGTTTTATTCAATCATCATTGCAGCCAAACAGGCTGAACTGCACATGATTTAACAAGGATAATATTAAAACAGGAAACAATGTACAAAGATTTAAATTAAACAACAAATAACCAGACAAATACAAAGGGCGAACCTCCGCGGTAGTTTTTATCAGCCAAGATGGGCTATTAATTGGGCTATTTATAAACCACTCAGTTTTACACATGACTTCCTTAAACAGGTAATGATTTCTTAAATTCCTAGATGTGACATTTTTAATGGCAACCAATGATGAAACCGAGGAGATTTCGCAGGTGACTGAGCGAATTTTAAGCAAAGTCTAATCCTATCACAGAGTGTTTCAAGTTAAACAAGGCTTAGAGCAATTTCGTATGTTTGATACTTGATGCCTAAAATTAAACGTAATACTCATTTCTGAACCCTTTCAATTTGGTGAATTTGGCTTCAAGTAAGAGCTGCATGCCAAACAGGTGCAGCATACTCAAGAAGCGGCCGAATGTACCCTGTGTATATCATAATGAGATCACACCTAGGCAGGTTGAATGGGATTAGTTGACGTAACATATGCACTCTGATATTCGCTTTTTTAATAATTTCTTGGATGTGTTTTTCCCATTTAAGGTTAGACTGAATAAAAAACCCAGAACTCTCACAGATTGGATTTGTTCTAATTCCTGGTTGTCAATAGTCAGATGGAGTGGCTGAAAGATAGTTTTACTAAAATAAACTCTCATGTCATGGCATTTGTTAATATTACGCCGCATGTTATTTTCTGTACACCATTGGTCTAATGTATCAAGTGTGGCTTGGGCTTTGGGTCTAGGCAATGATTGATATCCGAGAGTTACCATCTAGTAATAAACAATTCAGATATTTTAGCTAGATGATAAGTAAGTGCTATGGGACGCAATTTGTACTGAACTGAACTGAACTGAACTGTAGAAGATGTCATTACTTTCATATTTTTGTACCATGATGATGGATTATCATGTTTCAGATGGAGGACACGGCTATGATAAAAATGGTTTTTAGCATTTTTAATACAACAAATAATTTTGTTCCTACATTTCCTCCAAGCACTAACGTCCCCTTAAAAAGAAGTTGTGGTTGTTTTATGAGTGCTTTAATTTCAGTGGTAATCCATGGCTTATCTTTGAGTACGAACAGATCTAAGGGGGAAATACACATCAAGTGCACTATTCAAAATAGAATAGAGCTTGTCACATTTAGCCACTGTAGTCTTAGCATGAAGTACCTCTTGCCAATCGTAAGCCGAAATCCACCTGCCAAAGCATCGAATATCAGAGTCACTTGGTGCTTATGCTATACATAAGCGCCATGTTTACATCATTTAATTTTAGTGTATACCAGTGTTCTTGAATTTAGTTCTTGGTTTGATTATCTACCAAATGTTTCTTTGGGCTAACCGTAGCTTGGATTTTGTGTTTTTTGTCTGCGTTACAGAGACGAGCCAGTTTAAAAACAAGGAGGGTATTCCTGAAATTGATACTATCGTCCGGAGAGTAGAACAGACAAGGCGGTCTGATGGAGGTGAGTGTTGCCATAGTGATAATCATCTGTGTACACAAATGTTGTTGTTTCTCAAACCTTGGGTATGTTTGTGGCTTGGACTCCAGGCTCCAGCTTCCTAAATGTATAGGCCCCAGATTTGAGAGAATAATGGTTTGTTTTTTTGCAGCAGAAAATCTAATCCTGTTATAAATGCAAAAGGCAAATACTTGGGTTTTTCAGTTCATTTGGTTCAGATCATTTCAGGCATGTACCCATTAGTGGGTCCAATCCCACAGAAAATCTGCAGCCAGGGATGAAGTCGGAGTCAGAAACTAAGCTGAGATTTCACAAATACTATACATGTACAGGAACAGGTAGTTATCGCAGCAAAATTTGTACACAAATGTAGACTGGTTCTTTAGATTCCTATACCAACAGTGTGCATAACTTTGGCAGTGGAGACCATGCTTCAGGGGACAAGACATACATGTACATGTACCGGTATACTGCCGCATTTGTTTAGCATGAGAAGTCAGTAACAGCAGATTTTTTTTCAGCAGTTAAGTTTCAAGCCTCTGCATGTCAGAAGATTTAGCCTCAAGTGACCTAATTCCGGGACCTTTTGATTTAAACGTAAAATTTGCCCATGTATAACACTTGGACTAATTGAGCAACTGAAATAGAGTTATCAGCATCATCGTCTCTTGTCTTTTTTTTTATCACCGCTGACAACCAGCCGATCAATCTAAGCAAGCTACGGGCAATGGTCATTATTGTCAGCAGTGTTTGTTTGGCGGAATCACAGCGCAGGCTTTTGATTGGTCGCCTGGCCCCAGGCTGAATCAAGACCTCCTTCCTGCACTGGCAAATCTCCCATCACTTGATCCTATCAACAATATTATCGTGTGGTTGCTGGGCAAATGCGAGTCACTGAGGATGCATACCAAAGTAGTTTAATTAAGGAGGAACCAAAAATCGGGAGAAAAGCCTTTAGTGATTCTAACACCAACTAGTTTTTGTGATGGAAGGGCAAGATTTATGTTCATACAATTTGTTTACCTCCAGAGCCTTGATTTCAGTCGCTGGGATTTGTGTGTCTTCACTTTCAAAATGGAAAATAGAAGAAAAACAGACTAGTGTGGTTTTGTGTTTGGTAAATCCTAACTATTCTAATGTTTTTGGGGCAAGACTAGAGATTTCATAGTTTACTGCGCATGTACAATGTTCACATGTTGTTGTACATGTACCATGTGTATAGGTGTATTTTGTGCATTCTTCCTCATTATGAAGTTGTTCCGTTAGTGGTTAATTCCAGAAATCAGGGGTCCAAAAGTGTGACATTTTTGTGTCCCTGTTGATTTCAAACTATTACTTTTTGTTTGGCAGGTAATTTGCATTAATACATCACTCTTGGAAATTAGAAAATGTGTTCTGAACTAACAAAATCATATGTCAGAGGTGACAGGGACTCGGAAAAAAAAATGGACCCCTAATTTCTGGAATGACCCTTGTATGTACTTATGGAAACATTAGGAAAATGCCTAACCTCAAATGCTTGTTTTACGTTCCGGTTAAACCAATTCCATTTCAACATGGACATGTAAGGTACAATACCTGTACATGTAACCCTTGTTAAAGGAGTTACATGTACGTGTACCAGTACATGTTATAAGTTAGCCAAACAAATTTTGCTTTTTGAGGGGCTGCTGCCATGTAGAATGAAGCGTTTGAAGTTACATGCACCGGTACATATTGTTTCCTTGGGAAAAATGTTGTTCCTCATGCCCTACATGCATCGGTAGTTTGTATACACCCATGGGCCTAAATTTGCCCCAGATCCCACGCACATGGGAAAGAAAAGAGTAGCGGAAATTTCACCAAACAAAGCCATTACATGTACCCGTGCTGAAAGGAACACAGAATGGACACAGATGCACCCACGCATCCTGACAGAACAACAGAGACGGAAGTGGGCGTCTTGGTGATTATCATTAAACACAGTTAAAGGGTGTTTTGATGGAAAAGTAGCATAGCTGGTCAGCTGTGAGGGCAGGATGCGTCTTTTCATAAACCTTCATGTATATGTGCATCATTAATGAGATAGGAAATCCTCAGACACTGATGACATATTTGGTCAGAACTCAGATTATTGCTTACTGCATAGTTTACTTCCGGTGTAAATTTCACCAGCGGAGTAGTTCGGAATGTACCAGTGCAGTATATGGATTATTCCAGAAAATGTTTAAAAAAAAAAAACCAAACTACTATTTTCAGCTTGCTTGATACAAATCAAACAAGTTACCAGTAGCCTGTCGTTTCAATCCGAGAATTGTAACTTGCCATGTTGTGTACATGTTCTAAGCCTGCTTTGATATCGGCACAAAAATGATATTTGATGCAAATTGGATTTATCGCACAATTACGGTACCTATAGATATACCCATGTGATACGTGTATACTGTACATGTACTTGTAGTTTGTGCGTTGAACAGAGGAGACCTGGCCTTAATTCTGACAACCCGTTAATAGAAATTTTCCAGCAGAAATATTGCACTGGCGTCCAAGGCCACCTTCATATTACCGGTATGTACATGTGTACGTGTACCATGACCATGCATGGCCTAACAAATGAATATGGATGATTACCCCGTACGTGTAGATTTTCCATATGTAAGCAGATGTGCATACATGGCCACTTTGTGCTGAATTTAATTTGAGATCTAATGCACAGCATCACCCTTGGGCAGTTTATTGTCAGTAAAGTTTGCCATAATGATGTGTCCTGCAAGCCTCATCCTTCTTGCGTGCGATATTGATTAGTATCCCGCAGTGTTCGTGTGCACACGCACACGTACATGTACATGTGGTGATAAATTTGACCATGATATCCCTCAGTTCCTTTGCTTGGATTTACTCTTTTCTTTTCCACTGTTCTCCATGTCACCTGACTAGTGGAACGTGCTTCTTTTTTCTTTTTGGGGTTTTAGCTAATTTGGGTTGCCATGGTAACCTCATCTGCGGCTGACCCACGTAAATTGCCGTCGTGGACAGCGGGTGAAGCCTGACTACAAGTCAACAACTCGAAGGGGGGGATGGATATGTGTGCTCGGAATAGATTGATGGATGTGATTGATTCTGGCTTTTAATACACAAACAATGCACAGGAGGGACTTGAGGGGAAAATCAGGCAGTAGACATTACCTACATGTACCTCAGGCAAGCTTGCTTACTGACAAATAATGACTGCAGAGTACAGTTTGCTTGTAAGCACAGGACCACAAGGTGTGACGTTTATCAGTGAGTTTCATTACAGCATGGTCACGTACAAAACAGTACAAGACCTTTCAATTTAATATACATTTTTCTGCAATGGCGGGGCCATGCCTTTAAACCTACATGTATTGTTTCAGCTGCAGGTTTTATTTAAAGTGAAGAAAAAATACCTCTAAATGGCTGTACATCTTTTTAAAAATTCTTACCACCTCTCTCTGACATTGTTTGATACAAAATTGGCACTGCTGTAGATTGTGGAAAATAGCCAATGTGAACGACTTTGTTTAGATTTTTTTACAAGACTGCCAACAGTTTCCATGTTGGAGAATGAGCTGGCCGCAAAGGTGGGGAAAAGATTTTTTCCTTGGCCCACGGTTACTCCAACCACTTCAGTTTGCACTGAAGATTCACCCTGTCACAGATATGGCAGTAAAGGGTAGTCACTATGCCAGCCCAGAACCGCTCAGAGCGTGTGCGTACTTCCGTCTTCTTCTTTTTTCCTCCCTCCTTAACCTACATGTACCGTAGCTGAAAAAATTGTAGGGTAGAAAAAATTACATAGAGTGTGGTGCAATTTAATAATCTAAAAAATCTTTTTTTTTTTTTTTTTTTTGCTGTGGGGATGAAGGCACTGTGCTTAGGGAAGGGCAGGCAGAAACCGTGGCGCCGAGCGGCTCGGAGTCTCAGCTGAGGTTGTCCGTCTCTCCTTGTAAAAGGCGATCCGCGTGCACGGCGATGCGCCAGGGGAAGAATATTAGGGATTCAGGGATTGTCAGGTTGAGAGTTTGAACATTTCGCTTTGTCATGTAGTAAATAGAGTTAAGCAAAGAATGGAATCGCTAGGGGATTTGAATCTTTAGTACCCTACCAACTGACCTATTCAGCCCCATGGTAACAGTCTTCCAGCTTGCATATATCTCTTTCACTCTGTGATTGGATACATGTACCGGTATTTTAATCATTGTCTTGTCAATAGGGATCTTGTGTGTATTTATTGTTCAGAAACTTCACTTACCTCGTAAATGCATCAAAAATGGGATGCTGTCATTTCACTTCAATATTGACATACAAGTACAAGTATGCTTGGTTGTTATTCAGATTACCACCTACTTAAAATGAATCAGTGTATGATTGCATGGTTATTTTAAGAAGTACCCCCATCCCAGATGAGGGCTTCGTTAGTTTTGATGTTGTCTTCTCCAATTAATTTGGCTGGTTCCCTATCAGTCAAGAGCATGGAAAAATCACAGTTATTAACCAGTGAACAGCGCTTGACAGTTACCGCATCCAAGTGTGTACGGTGAACCAGTACATGTAGCAATATGTATGTATGTACATGTATGTAGCATGTAGGCATTGTGGGCTTTGAAACATTTGTTCATGTAACAAACATGGGATATTTTACACTGAACCAGAAAGATTTGATGATCAAATCAGTGTTGTTTGGATTGAATTGCCAGCCTGACGATTATCAATAATATCGGGTGGCATTTTAGGCAATACAAAATTACGAAGATCTTGTACTTGCTGTAATAAGGCCAAAAAATAAGCCTCCAGTTTCTGGTCGGGAGCTGAATCCAAAAGCCATGCAGCGACGCGGCATTTTTTTAACCCTCCCTCCCTTAGCAGGATTCCAGTTGATCAACCAATTTTGGCAGCTTTTGGACATCGTTTTACATGTATACCAAATAGAAACCGTTTTTATTATGCTGACGCGCAGTTCTACAGCCGACGCGCATACTGACCGAAAACAGAAGACTTTTTTCGTTTGGTCTAATGTGCTGGATGCTTGGCACAGCTCATGTAAGATACAGCTACAAACACACATTCATGAATTCCCCCAAAGCCATCCAAAATTATAATTTTATGTATTTATTTAGCAGCAAATGTTTGTGCCCGTACATTAACTCATCACCAGCCAAACTGTAGTGTGGGGCTCTGTTTTTTACAGCGTAACAAATTATGCACAACCAGACTTTGCATAACCATCCCGGTGTCATTGGCAAAGATTGTTAGTTTACACTGAAATTCTTGCTCACAAGCAAGACAATTCGAACTCATCTGATTGTTTCTGGGCGACTTACATGTACACATACATGTATACATGTATGTACTGTACATGTACATGTACACATATGCACCAGGATGTGCCATGTACATGTATTTCATGTGTGTGTACATGTACCAAGATATAGACAATAGGCTCTGGATTAGTTTAAAGTGCACGTTCTCTTCATCGTTCTTGGTATGCTAATTACAAAAATCAAAATGTGCTTTCGCTGTCATGGGTCACATCTTCATCACAGAGTTGTGCAGATAGACACCATAATTAATCTCGTCAGAGTATTCATAGCGGTACCTACCAAATACAAAAAGCATTTATGATTTTTGGATCGAAGGGTACTCCCATTTTATTGCCAGTTTAGCAGGCAAGTTTACGGTGGGACAGATGTGCTTGGCTGGTATTATGCAGTGAAGCGTTTTACTGCTTGACTGAAAAACCCCAAAACATCAACCAATTTTAGTTGCATGTGAGTGACCTCGGGAAAGCACAGGTTTCATCGGAGGCATATTCTGTGGAGCAGAGGAGCTTGGTATTAGACGTGGATAATTTCAGAAATTAGGGTTCTAAAAGTGTGACATTTTTGTGTCCCTGTTACATCTGACCTTTGTTATTTGACATGGAAATATCACCATAATTGATTTCAAACTTTTGCTAGTTGTTTGGCCGGTCATTTGCATTAATTCATCATTCTTGGAAATTAGAAAACGTGTTCTGAACTTTCAAAATCACGTCAGATGTGAGCTATATTTTCTGGATTGACCTACATGTACATGTATAATACAAAGATGTGTGATGCATCGTACCAAAACTGAGCAAATAATGCTGAACACAAATTGCCATTTCAAAGCAGCATGGAAGATATGCTGACAAAAAGTGACTCTGTGAATTGAGCAGAACTTACGTCTATTCACACACACCAGGTTCTTTTTACCATATGGAGCTAAATTTAACACACTAAAGGTCCCAACAAATGACATTCTTGAAAGTCCTTTGAATTATTAAATCTATTATAGACTAAAATCAATAGCCACTTCTCCCTAATAATACAGACAAAACAACCCCCCCCCCCGAATGGAACCTGGAAGCCTCCATATCCACTGTACAGTCACAGGAATCCAAGCTTCGTTTAATGGCAGACACCCAGGCGAGCGTTGAGAGTCCGTGCGTGATTCACTTTACCAATTTACCATGTATTTTAGAGCAGCGTGCAGGCCAAGCGCCTGCGGTTAGAGCCGACGAGCATGAAATTTACATGCCCATTGTGCCCACTCACAAAGTGCGATGCTCCTTTCCCCGGTCCCCTTGCCTGTCTCATGTCATCCATACCGTGACTACCAAGCAGAACCTCATCAAGCAGTCATTGCCTGTCTTGACAGCAGAGCCACAAAAAATTGATGATGCCCATCAATGTAAATGCTCAAGACAATAAAGTGTGTAACCTTTCTGATAAAGACTAGCATTGACCACGTCAACAATAAAAATTAGTTCGATGTGGACCTTAATATAGTAAACAAATACAGGCCTGTAAACTAGATAGGTTTGCGGTAACACCCTGGGTACAGTTTTTGTATATGTCTTTTTGAATATGTGGGGTTCTGAAATGACCAGTTTTTTTTTTCAGAACCGGTAGTATACATGTAGCGCTCAACCATGTACACTTTCATTTTCACTTTACTCCCTTCCTGTGTGCTTGATGTTCGGAAGTGGAATAGGAAACCACATTGTTTAGACAAAATATGAGGAAAATCTGTAATATTTTAAAATCTCTCTAAATTGATTAAAGATTTGAGCATTCTCCATGAACCGATGCCCTACCCACTTTGCACTGTGTGATAAACATGTAGTCACAGCTTTTCAGAAACCTGCTGCCTGGTGTCCCGTTTGTTGTCTTTTTGGCTCTCATTTTTCATGAATATGATTGGTCTGTATTTGCCAGAATCAACAGCAGGCTCAACGGGTACAGGCAAGGTGGTGGTAGACAAGACAGAAACCAGGGTCAAGACGGACCGCCAGGTAGTCCAACCCAATGGAGAGACCACCCATGTGGAGCGAGAGAATGTAGAGACAGTGGAGAAGACCAAGCCGGCACCAGACCCCGCCAAAGATTCCCTGGAGGTCGTGCCTGCCAGTGACCCCATGGGATCCAATGCGGCCGACCCGCAACCCAAGGACCAGATTGCTGCAGCAGTACGAAGCAGTGATGACGACGCGGTGAAGATCGACAGCGATCCTTCGGACATCAGCAAGGCCCAGAATGCACCCGTCACACACGACGGGGAGATCCTACTAGAAGATTGGCAGTTCATACGTAAGTCTGGTTCTTTTTGTCTTCCAAACCTGACTACATGAGGTCAGACAACTCCCCGAGTTTCCCTCTTACCTGATTGGCCTATTTCAGTTTTATGCATTGAGACTTTGTGTGTGCTACTCTCGATACTTGCAAAGGCCAGAAAATAGTGCGTGCGCATTTATGATGGATCACATCACTCAAACTGGCAATGGTAACCCCTCTGCCATCTTGAAATACCCGTGTTTATTCACAAAAGTGTGTTCCTTATCTGAATGAGAGTGTACTCTCGCTTACCCATGGGTTGCACTCACGTTTACATGCTTCAAGTAGCATTGATGAATGCAGCTTAATATTCAGGCCGACTGGCCATTTTACAACTACATGTACCTTTATGGTCAAGAGATTAACTCCCTCCCACTCTCCCTGACTTTCCATTTCAAACTGAATTCTTAACAAAAAGCAACAACAAAATCGGACAAAAACCTGAATTTCCCTTCAAGGGAACTCAGTGTCACACCTTCGTGAGTTTAATAATTAAGACATTACACATTTTGCTTTCAGAGTGAAAAAAGGGGTCATTTTCATGAAATTTATCTCAACCTGAATTGCGGACAGCCGTACATTTTGTACAGGTCTTAAGTGTTTAATAACTAACTGTAATCTCCAATTCCCAACTTGTAATGCACATATGACTAATGATCAATAATGCATCGTTGTTTAGATTAAACATTAGCATCTCCGAGGATGGTTTCTTTCGTCGACCACACAGCAACTGTAATCCCCCCCGACCCTAATTACCATCTTCCGTTGTAGCTTACAACAACAGAGTAGGGTTTGAAATAAAAATGCGGCAGGACTGGAGTGGACATGAGGTGAATTTGACGTTAATTATTTCTTAGTCAATTCCTGGAGAGCTACATGTGGAAAGTACCTGGGGAGAATGCCTTGACATTTTCCGCTCATGGTGAAGGACACCTCAGAGTATCACCTTACACTGGACAGTTTTTTTCCCTTCAAATCACAGCTTGTGCCCTACAGGCTGCCTCCACAATCATTTTCAGACTTTCCACTCTCAAAAGGAAATGAGTATATACTCCAGAATTTTTGGCGTCAAACTAAGACAGGCCGATGTTTCTGAAGCATGAAGTGAAACTGCATTGAGCGGAAGGTTCTCAACTGAAAGAATTAAAACATTGATAAGAAAATAAAGCCCAAAAGCTACATAAAAATCTGGGACAGTGCCAAAGTTTGAGAAAACCCATGGACTATATAAGTCTCTCCCCCCAACAAAACCAAAAAGCCAACAAAAGTGCAATAATATTGGATGTACATGTAGGACAAATCTAGCTGATGATAGGACATAAAGATCAGCAAGGGGCCAGTTCAGGCGACGACCATCTGTCAACAACTAGTCAATTTTGCCTGGCAACCAGGGTTACCAGGGAAAAATCACACAGTGGTAAACAAATTGTTGTCGTTCAAAGTTGCCCAAGGTTACAAAGTACATGAACATGCACAGTAAGAGCTTTAAGTTTGTGACTGGTTTCTGCCTCTTCCTCTCTGAGAATATGTACAGATGGACATGCTATTGAGGGATATGCAAACAGCCTATTTCACTAAGCTTCTTAGACTTGGCATACACCCGATATGCAGACTATAATAAGAAACAGAAAAGAAAGCTGGCATCACCGCGAGATACCAAACGACACTGCCTGTGCCTCATAACACTAATTAGAAGACACATGATGCAAGGAAACCTTAGATCTTTACAGACGATCCAAGAATGCTAATATCCCCTTGCCAGTGAATTCCTGCATCACCCAAAGCGAGGCTCTAATCCACTTAGCAACCTTATTACCAGCGAGAGTGGTTATGGCTCTGGGAATTGAAACAAGGACAATCGAATTAGTGCGTGGAGAAAGCTTGTGTGCAGCTTACAATCCAGGGACCATTAGGTAGCGGTACTTGTACATAGGGTCTGCAGGGTTCATTGGGAGAGAGCACATACATGTACAGTGTACATGTACAGTGTATGGCGCACAGCCGTGGGAATATCGTCAGTTGGTTGATCCACTGGAGCAATTATTAATCTCCAGAGCAAATGAAAAATTGAGAGTTACCGTGTACACGTAGATCATAAATTAACGTGTTGGTGAATGCACGGTCCAAATTGTAAATACATGTAGCCATGGCAACATGCAGGAGGTACATGTAATTACTGTGGAATCAGTTTTACAGTGTAATGCAATACTGACATGCACATACTGTAGGTGCACTGCTATTACTAATGACAGCTCTAACTCCGGAGGAATTGGAGACATTCCTTATTGTCCCTGGCAGCAGATGCTATACAAGTGGGGTGACCCGCCTCCCCATGTTATCTGTTATTTCAGTTGTTGATGTATAGGCCTTCATCAGGCTGCCTCAAATAGTAGACAGACATGTACATGTACATAACATGTACATGTAGACAGCAATTCTCTGGGTTGGAATGACATAAAGAACTTTTGTGGTTACAGATATTCAGGTTTCCCTTTGCATTATTTGTTTTGTGCTGCCTCTCTCTCGCCACAATTTCTCAGGTAATCTTTTCTCTGGATTTGTTGATATTTGCTAAAGATCTGTCACAGCTGCCTTTGGCTCAAGAGAGGGCGCTGTACCGTCTTACAGTAGAGGCAAAATCTGAGTTTTTTCCAAGTCTCGGCTCCATCTCTGTCTTCAGCTTCTCTGTTACAAATTTAGTCCTCTGACTTTATTGAGGCCCTGGGGCTCCGTGCAGATTTTTTGTAACAGAAGCTTCTAGTTGTCAGCAAAGTGTCCCAGGTTTGGAAAAAGGGCTCAGTTGCAGCCACTGATAGACCTACGTGTACTTTTCATGCATTGGTTTTGAGGAATCGCTAAGCCTGTTTGTGTCACATGGGTATAGATTTGGATCAGTGATCTCAAAGCTGGTAAGCGCCGTTCAGTGGGCGGATTCCAGTGTCAGTGAACCAACGTCAGATCACTGATTGTGCTCAAGATCTTTGTGTAACAAACAGGCCCAGTGCAAGGCAAAAACTCAGTTAAAAATGGTAAATATTATATGATACACTGGTTCCTATTCCTCCCTCTCCATTTGCTACTCTTTGAGAAGGGAACCGGTGAAGACCTGGGAGTGCTTTTATTGTGACCAAACTTTAATGCTCAAACTAAACTTAAGTGCACAGAACCTGCTACAAAATCTTTGGTTATTTTGCTTGATTGCCCAAATTGTGAAACTTATTTCAATTTGTTCATTTGCAGTAATCGTCTGTGGCTGTGTAGCTGTCGGTGTTCTTGGCATCGCTGTGGCCTTTTTATGTTGGTACAAGTAAGTACATTCAGTCTTTTTATCCTTAGAAAAAAATGTTCCTGACTATTCCATTTAAGGAGAGGTTGTTTAAAATTATGTATACTGTGTGACAGTTTTCACCAAAAATAGGAGAAGCTTCTGTTCGAAACTTTTTCCTGTCTGTCGCAATTGTCTCTGTTATTTTGTGATTGGTACATACTGTGCTTAGTGAATGTGATAGCGATCTGGTAGTGAGTTGTGGTGTGGTATGGTGTAGTTGAAGAGCCCCCTCTTGTGGCAACTCTTTTCTTGCAGGAATGTGGGATGTTTCCATTGAAAGGATGCTGTACTGCCCTCTGTTGGCAGCACGTGCTAGAACATGTATACGTGTACACTTGTATTGACGTGTACCCGGTGCGTCATTATGTTCAGCTTCCACATTATACAGTGTTGTGTACATTCACTGTGTCGTACATCTTCAAACAACCAGTTGAGGATACATGGATGTTGGGGAATTATTTCACGTATAAAAAAGAAATCCAGGATTAATAGGAAGGCTTAGAGATTACTTTCTAAAGCAATTTTTTTTCTTTCTTTTTTTTGACATGGAGGTGTGTGCCTGTGTAATATCTGCTAAAATACATGATCCGTACTAAATTTGCGAGGAGAGAGTAGGGTCATTCCATGAGGTTGGGGCAGAAATTACGACGGTGTCCTTGTTACATGGGTAGGCTAACTTTTTCCACCTGTCATGATCTGTAGAGTAGATCATTTACTCTGTAAAAATAACACACACCTCTGTATTCAGCCTAGCAAGATGTATAACAAGTCCCAAATGCTACCGCAAGCTCCCTTGTTTGTGATGTTTGGAATTTCAAGTGTGGAATTGTGGTCCTAGATTCCCAGTTCCACTGCAGAAATATAGATACATGTACGTGTCTTTACACCTCACCCTGAGGGTACAAAACACCATCAATAACTTAAAAGGTAAAATGCTAACTATATTTGGAAAGAACTCCATATATACGGACAACACTTGATGCCCCTGTGCACAGGCCTACATGTATGAGATTTGTCTGAAAAAAGGGTGTTTTGGAAGTAAATGCTTGGGAATTTTCCCAGCTGAATGTCACTTTTGAGGATGAGTTATCACATTCTGACGGCTATCATAACATTTGAAGGGAATATTAGTGTTGTCCGTACAATGTATATGGAACTCAATTCCCTAAATGTTACATTGGGTTACAAAAAGCCAGATAATGGCACACCACATTCTGATAATACCAGTACATTGCCTTACATGTACACTGTACATGTATGTAATCTTGACAATAGGAGATTCTATCTGTCAAGATGGTGCCATGCCGAGTTACATCTCTGATATCAATTCACTACCATATATTTACTGTTTCATTTGCGGTGTTAAAAGACAAGCAGTGGTTTGTTTGCCTCAGAGCATCGCACAAGACAGGATATTGCGAGGATGGCGGCGAGGGAGGGGGGGAGCAAACGAGATCACTCTCACCCGGAGACTACATGTAGGTCTCGGAGCTCCCAAGAGGAACTGTAATATCCTGGGATGGGGGTTAAACAAAGACATACTCATTACAGATGTCCAGCGGGCCTGGCTGGTGTCTTGTAGGATAGCACCTGCACGGATTGATGTGGGCTTAAAGGATCCATGCACGAAGATTTTTCTTAATGAGATGCACTTGTTTTGCAACTTAGCCGTCAGTCATTTCTGAGAAGGGGATGGTAGTTGGTACTTTGAAATAGATAAAAGATCGAAGCTGTTAGTGGCCTTTCAAAGACAAAGATACAGTACATTTAGAAATAGATGCTTTTTATCAAAGAGAAATTAATTATTCACAAGTCTGGATGTCACCATGGGTACAGCACTGTAGTCTGGTAACTATGGATGCATACATGTAAATGCAGTGTCCAGCTGATGTCAAACTGGTTCATTTTTACTGGTGTACTGTGAAAAATCTTTGAACACTGGTACCCTGTACACGTAGGTATTTGCCACACATGTACCAATAGTGTGGTACATGTACATGATGAGGACAGTCTTTTAAATTTAAAACTCACAGGTGTGTGAAAATATTGCACCTGGATTTTTCTAGGCATGTGAAAATTCACACCAACTGCAGGAAGTGTGATCATGCTTGAAATACTCGTACAAGGGACTCAGGCACACAATTACCATATGTGCGCTTGTTGGGAAGTTTACAGGCTGGTGATTATGTACATGTTTGCCTGAAATCAGGACAGTGACAGCGTGCTTTTATCTTGTTTTGTTAAAACATCAAGGAGTCTGGTTTTTGTACTAAGGGCCCCGTATGTTGCCCATTGGCCAAACATACCGAGAGACGATACAACACTCTTCTATTTCTGTTCTATTTCTGTTCTCTGAAGCATCCTCCAGGCATCGTTCTTGGCATTGATAATACAGCCAGGAGAATGCAAAGGATAAACTGTTCTCCTGGTTGATCATTTTGACCCAGGATCTGTTAGGATGGAGCGGTGTCTGTAGGCGTTTTTCGAATTTATCACTCAGCAATCGATGCCGGAGAAGCATTTATTTCCAGAACTCAAAAGATGTCACCTGATCGTGCCATACTTATACTGTACATGTTAGAGATTTTTTTTTTTTTTTGGTTACTACACAGAGAGTTTAATACCTAACCTGGAGAAAATGGGGAATATTGTTTCAGTCAGGACAAAATCAGAAACGAAGCCTATCATGCCTGCAGCATAAATCATGTTAGATGTGCGTGTTCCTGTAGACTGTCCTGTTTGTGCTTACCGTCATTCTAGCTGTGAGGGGTTTGAAGTCTTCATGATGAGAGCTGCGTGCATTAGTCTCAGGTGAAAACTGACAGTGCATCTGGCGGGAAGAAATTCTTTGTTTTCGGTGTACTGTTTGACTGCAGTGTACAAGCTTTGGACAGCTTTGTACAGTTTATGCTGTAGAATCCGGCCTGGACCGCGAGGTAATTGTGGGTCTTTCTTCCAGAGACTTTTCCTTGTTTATAGTCCTTATCTCATTCCCTTGGTTACAGACGATGTGAACAAGCACACTTACTGGAACGTTGTGCACTGAATCTTCTCCAACCTCCCTCCTCCAGTGGAAACTTGGAGACATTCTCATTGCAATATCTTCCCTTGGTGAATCTTGATGCTTATTGAGTGTCCGTGGATCATGCCAGCAACAAAGCATGCAAAACAGTGAGGTCAATATCCTCACTCAAAGACTGGTTCCTCCGTCTTCCCTCTGGAGTGCATGACTTGCATGCAGTAGAGAGATTGGGTACTACGATGATGATGTTTGGTGCTGCTCTTATCCAAGAACATCACATGCTGCAAATTACCTCTTGCTTTTGTCTTGCCTCCTTCCATGTACTCTCCCCTATTTCTCAGCTGGTACCATATCGTTCTATCCCTAGACAACATCTGCCCCATCAGGATGATTCTCCAACTTGATTCGCCAAGGCCAAATACCTATATCTCCAGATCTGTACATTCCAGAGTACTCACAAACTCCTAACATTTTTCCCAGGGCATCTTCAGTTTCCCCACTTTGATTAGCACCCGTCCATCGTACTCTGCCTTGATCCGGCCTGAGCATCTTATAACACGCTCGAGGCAAGCCTTTCTCTTGAGAACAAACTCGGACAGATTAACTTTCACTGCCAAGAGATGCTAGCGAGAGAACACCTCTGCATAAATTTCCTCAACTGGAGTGAGACACGTTGAAAAGTGGCTAATTTGTGTTTCCACTGTACACATACAAGTCAGGCAAGAATGTAAGATGTAATTAGGTGACACCCCCCCAAAAAAAACCTTAACTTGGTAAACATTATTACACCTTCTAATGGAAGTTTTGGAATTGCAAACTGTCATTTCAGTCTCCCAAGATGCAAATATTTCAAATTCGTCTTGGACCTTACCACCTGTTCATAATTCCCTTCAGAGCATGCTCCTTAACTGTAGCAGAATTTCCCCTGTCCCTATGAGCCGCATCACCCACTCTTGTGACAGATTTATAGGTCTTGAGCACTCAAAGTTTGACGTCATCCCTGAGAAAGAGGCAGACAGAGCGCCAGGAGAGGGGATGTAAATAATGAACCTCATCATCCCCAAATAAAAGATAGCTGTTCTGACTCATCTTGCCGCCACATATTTGATTAATTTCTGGTCTAGCCTGTTTCTCATCTGATAGCTCTGATCATTAATCTTCCATCTTTACTCTCACAGAAAGTGGTTCCCTTCAGTTTTCATGTCAGACGTCCTCCAGATGCAGCTTCTTAAGAGCATGCTGTTGAACCTGGCCCAGGAATAGTGCATCCTGTGTCCATAAGCAAGATAATCTACTGACAGTTTTCTTTCTCTGCAGCTGCTGGCACTAGATGATGGATGTCTTTTTCATTGTGGCTCAGTGGAGCTTTAAGATTTTTAAGATGCTTAAATGCCATTGAAGGTGTGCGTGTTTGCAAAGTCTGTTGGAAAGAACGTTGCTTGTTAGTCATACTGAATGCAATGATCAAGCGGTTTTGAACAAAATTTTCCCACTGAGCTTAAACTGTACAATTTTTGCTAATTCCGTCATTTGGGTGCTTAGCCTGAGCTTTTTCCTCACTACATCCAGGAGAGTTAGTGAATTCACCCCTGCTGTGGTTTTTGTCTTGCTAGACAAAACAGCTCTGTACGTACCGTAGGTTGCCGCAAATTTGATCAAGTTTCCCTTGACGGGCTGCTGGCAAAATGTCAAACGTGCAAGTGTTGTTTGTTTTCAGGGGGACAAATATGAATTCACACAAATGGGCTTTGTTAATGAATGCCGTCCATGAACCACAGAATATGTTTTATTCACAGTGATGTGCATGCATGTATGTATTGACATCAAAGCAAGCCCACGCCCTGCATATGAAATGCCTCCAAGCAGCACCATATTGTGTTTTACAAAATCGAATATCTTTAATATCATTTTTCAGTCCCTGACATACGTGTAGGGAGGCATTCATTATTTGAATATG